ATATGCCTGCCCAGCCACAAATTCTAGGAGCTCAGAACTTCTACTGTCTTTTAGATGTTAGCTGATTACCTCTGCATTGCCTGGCCTCGGTGGGGAATGGCTCCTATTTTGTATAACAAAAGGCCTGGGTCGGGTAGCTAGGCCTTCCTGGGTCCACACTCCTCCACTCAGGGTCAGACCCAGGGGCTATTCGGCTGGTTCCTATCTCAGCCCCAAACACATCAGTCCAGAATAGATGGCCCCTGCAGCATGGGACTCTAATGGACCACACACTGTGATAGTGGAGTTTGGAGAAGGCTGCTGAAGACAGGGGGAAGGATTGTGGAAGCCAGTAAGCACCACAAGACAATTAACCTGGGCTCACAGGGGCTCACAGAGACTGAACAAACAGGAAACCTGCAGGGACTGACCTATGTCCTTTGCACATATGTTACGACTGTGTAACTTGGACTTCTTGTGATTCTCCTAAAAGTGAGAACAGTGGATGTCTCTGACTCTGCCTTTGGCACCCTTTCCTCCTACTGGATTGCTTCATCCAGCCTTAACAGAAGAGGAGGTGCCTAGTCTCACTGCAGCTTGATATACCATGGCTGACTGATATCCATGTGAGGCCTGCCAGTATCTGAAGAGATAAAAGAAGGAAGAATGAATTTGGGGAAGGGGGTTTTAGGGGGGAGGGGAAGTGTGAGGAGGCAGAACTGGGAGGAGAGGGGGAAGGGAAAACTCTGGTTGGGATGTAAAAACAAAAATAAATAACAAAATAATATAACTATATGGAGAGTTGTACAACATCACACCATATGAATATGGATATAAGTATCTTGTATTAATTGTGTGACTACTACCAGTGTTCACATGGCCCAGGAATTCCACTCAAAACCGATCACATAGAGAAGAGTCATCGCTGCCTGGAAATGTAGCTCAGTGCTGGAGTGCTTGCCTAACCTGTGCAAGGCCCTGGGTTCAATCTCTTGATCTGTTAAGCAAGAAGGAAAGGGAAAAGGAAGGAAGAATAAAAGAATCCATCACAGCCTCTGGCTTTGGAGACATAAGTGAAGAACTTCTATGGTAGTCTTGTCTTTTATAAGGTTTATTTTTAGCTCTCTCTCTCTCTCTCTCTCTCTCTCTCTCTCTCTCTCTCTCTGTGTGTGTGTGTGTGTGTGTGTGTGTGTGTGTGTGTGTGGTGTGTGTGCGCGCGCGTGCGCGCATGTGTCATGCCAGTGACCACAAAGGCACTGAATCCCCTGGAGCTGGAGTTACAGGCCTTTGTGGAACCCCCTCCCCCAAGGTGTGTGCTGGGGACTGAACTCTGATCACAACATACTCTGAACCAGAGTCACTCTCCAGCCCTGTAGCATTTTCCTCAGGGGCAAAAACTCAAAGGGAATTTTCATGAATAGAAAAATGAATGTGTAAGGTAGACTGTACCTATAGGATAGAAATAACACTTAGCCATCAGAAAGAATGGGTTAAATCCATACCTGTTGGCTTGGGAATGTTTGGACAAGGCTTCAGATGAGAAAAATAGCACGTGGAACACAATGGAAATCCCCTGTTTGCATTTACCAGCATGGGTATTATGTGTTTGTGTTTCTGTCTGTCTACAGAAAGCCTGGGCAAATAGGCAAGGATTTAGACTACTTTGTCAACAGGATTTACTTTGGGATGGGTGACTGTCTTGTGTGTCGAGGCAGAAGAACAGTGGAATGGGAACAAAAGAATAAGAAAATAAAGTGAAAAAAATCAGCTCTCAGAGGAAAATTGCATGTTCATGGTGTTCAGTCAGTCAGTGTGCTGTCAGTCAAGGTGTGCAGTCGGGGTATACAGTCAGTCAGGGTATACAGTCAGTCAGAGTGTATAGTCAGTCAGGGTGTGCAGTCAGTCAGGGTGTGCAGTTAGTCAGAGTGTACAGTCAGTCAGGGTGTGCAGTTAGAGTGTACAGTCAGTCAGGGTATGCAGTCAGTCAGGGTGTGCAGTCAGTCAGGGTGTGCAGTCAGTCAGGGTATACAGTCAGTCAGAGTGTTTAGTCAGTCAGAGTGTATAGTCAGTCAGGGTGTGCAGTCAGTCAGGGTGTGCAGTTAGTCAGAGTGTACAGTCAGTCAGGGTGTGCAGTCAGTCAGGGTGTGCAGTTAGTCAGAGTGTACAGTCAGTCAGGGTGTGCAGTCAGTCAGGGTGTGCAGTTAGTCAGAGTGTACAGTCAGTCAGGGTGTGCAGTCAGTCAAGGTGTGCAGTTATGGTGTGCAATCAGTCCTAGGTGAAAAATCTGTTACTCAGAAGGAAGCTACAGAGAACATCCCCCGACCTTCACAGCATGAGTGACACCTCCCATTTTGGGATGAGACTTTTGTTGTTGTTGCTCTTGCTCTACTAATTGTGAACCCAACACGAGTATGCTTGGTTTTCCTGAGAGAGATGTTAACTTTAGCAAGTAGGAAGTACCCAAGATTTAAAATATCTTTACCAGTCAAGCCAGCCTCATGAATACAAGTCCTGAAGCTCAGAGAGACACTGAAGCTCAGGGAGACACTGTAGGTATGGCTGTAGATAAAAAGGGTGCTCTCCGGACTTTAACCAAAGTGACATGGGTCAATTTACAAAGCCTCTGTCTCACCGCAGCTCCTTCTAGTCCTAGCTCACACTTCAGACTCCTCCCTCAATTTCCCTTGTTGGGTCCTGAAACAAGGCCTACTTTGTGTAATCATTGCCCCTTTCTTCACTGACCTGTAAGGACTTGCTTTCTCTGCCCCTCTCAATTCCTCTCCCCTCATCCTCTGTATCCCCGCTCAATAGAGACAGATCTGAGGTGAAGAAGACAAGCTACTCCTCTCAATCCGGGAGCAGCACGGAGCTGTTCCCTGAAAGGCATCTCAGGAGTTTGCTCCAAGGGCCTTAGGGGTTTAGGGATACCTGGGAGGCACCTGCAAACCAAAAGCTCGGTTCCTTTAAATGCCAAAATCTCAGCCTTCAACAAAACCAGAGTTTAGTTGCCCCTTCCCTCCCCGTACCAGAGGAACCAATATTAGCCTGGCTGAAGCCTGGGCAATAAATTACACAGCCTCAAAGCACCTCATGTGCGACAGGCTAAACTAGTGCATAAAGGCATTCTCTCCTGGTGCCAGGAGGGAAGCAACCCATAGCAACCAACCGGTGTTCCCCACCCCTGCGGGCATCTCACAGATTCTGGAACTGCAGTGATGGAGGAGACCCGCTGAGGGGCAGCTGGGATCCCCTGGAGCTTAGCCGAGGGCAACCTGCCAGGAACACACTCCTGAGCTCGACCCATCTAGGCTTCTTCAAAAGGGCTGATGTTGCAGGGGAGCCTTGCCCATCTGATCCCTGTCCAGCTATCAACTTGGCCCTTTGAAACCGCCTGAAAATGCCAGGCAGAATGGGGTAAAAGGACAGGCAGAAAATTGCCAGTCAGTCCGGCTGCAAGACTGGAAAGGGGGACCTGGTGAAGACCCTTCTCGTTCCTCTCCAGTTCCACCTAGCCTGACGAGCCAGGCAGGCGCAGGGAAGGAGGCTGCGAGGTTGGCAGGGGCAAACTAATCCGCAAAGGGTGCTGGACAAGAGCCCAGAATTGTCAGTCCGGGCGACAGGCCATCGAGCTTGTGCCCGGCTCTTGCACTCACCAAGCTTTGCAGAGAGCTGCGCATGGTCCCCAGTGTCTGCAGCGGAGAGGGGTAGTCGCTGGCTCCCTTGGAAAGCACAGACTAGCTGCTGCTAGAGAGGGACCAAGTCATCCAAGTGACTGGGGAAGAAGGTATCCCAAATGCTTGGAGCCCATCACTGCTTTGGGGGCTGGGAAGCGGGGGAGAGGAATCAGTCCACCAGGGAACAGAGCTAGGTATCTGGGGGTTTCCTTAACACAAGGAAAGTTGTCCTCCGGACTTCCGAAGCAGGGTGTGGTCACCTGTCACCGCTTGGTAGCAACCCGAGCACAGTGTCTGTCGGCTATCCACTCCCATGCTGGCCTGACTCCCACAGTCTAGCCTTTCTGTAGAGGATAAAGATTCCCGCGGGGCACCGTGGCTGTTAACTCTGGGACACCGGAGGACAGAGTTAACTGTCCTCCACTTCAGCTGTGTCCAAAATCCTTCTTTTTCTGCTAGCATCCCTGGTACAACCGTGATTCCCTCTGAGGACCCTATCTGGGTCTTCTCCTCCCAGGCCACCTTGTCGCCCCCTCGCGGAGTGCTGTGTTCGTCTGGCCTGCAGAACGCCCACGGCAGGTCACGAGCAGCAGAAGGCGTGGTGGTTGCGGTGGTGGAGCTACACAACTGCCAACAGCTGGCGCAGCTGCTGCGCTGCCTGCCTGAGCTCAGGGACCCGAGAGTACGCAGCCCAGGTACAGCCCCTTCACAGTGACGTCTCTGCAGCGGGTTATAAAAGCCTCGTGTGCAGCCTGCCAAGGTTCTGCTAACTCCTGAGCCCAGAAGGACCAAGAAGCTGCGGGCTGGCGGGCGGCAGCAGAGGAGAAGGCTTCAAGGAAGCAAAGCAAAAGGGAACTCACCAGCTGGATGCGGACCCCAGAATCCGGCCAGAGGACCAGAACTTTTGCAAGCAGGGCTGAGAGCCGCCCTCCTTCCCCTTCAAGCCCTCAGGCAGCACCCAGCTTTGCCTTTCCCGCCGCTGAATGCCTGTTGGTGGGAGTTGGTAGCAGCAGCAGGTGCAGAAAGGCGGGGTTGTCTTGCCGCCTAGAACTGTGAGAAGTACAACTGCTTCGATGCAAAGCGGAGCCTAGATTAAAAGTGCAGGAATTTAGAGACAGGGGGCCAGGCAAAGAACATACACAGGAGAAGCGTTTGCTCCTCTGAGCAAGCCTCCTGCTAACAAGTACTGAGTTCTGCCCGGGAAACTTCCCACCTTCTGCGTGGCAGGACCTGAAGCCTCAGGAGTCTGCAACAAGGTTTTGCAGCAAAGAGGGGTGTGTGTGTGTGTGTGTGTGTGTGTGTGTGTGTGTGTGTAAAGAAGCCAGGACTTTGCTGCCTTTCCCCAAAATGGATAACGTCCTTACTGCGGCCTCAGACCTCTTCCCCAACATCTCCACCAACACTTCTGAGTCCAACCAGTTCGTGCAGCCTGCCTGGCAAATTGTCCTTTGGGCAGTTGCCTACACAGTCATCGTGGTGACCTCCGTGGTGGGCAACGTGGTGGTGATGTGGATCATCTTGGCCCACAAGAGAATGAGGACAGTGACCAATTATTTCCTGGTAAACCTGGCCTTTGCCGAAGCCTCCATGGCTGCATTCAATACGGTGGTGAATTTCACCTACGCAGTCCACAACGAGTGGTACTATGGTCTCTTCTACTGCAAGTTTCACAACTTCTTCCCCATTGCTGCTGTCTTCGCCAGTATCTACTCCATGACTGCTGTGGCCTTTGACCGGTGAGTCTGTAAAACTGAGAAAGCACCAGAGTACTGCAATTTTGCTAAGGAGGTCTGGGGCTGGAAGATGTGTGTCTGGGGAACCAGACTGTGCCTCTATGCCCTGGGGCTCTGACTGCCAGCCTTCTGGGTCCCTTTGATCTTAGGAGCCCAGATCCTCGGGATCTTTCTTTCTCATCATTTTTCCACTCCTCATCAGCCTCTCTTCCTTTCAATACTTCCATGTCCTTTTCGTAGCATCCCTTTCGCATCCACCCACCAACCCTCCAGTCTCTGTAACTCTGGTCTTACTCTGTCCCATACATTCTTTCTCTCCTTTTACTTTATTGCCTGGATGTGGGATACCAAGGGCTTGGCCAGAGACCTTGGCCTTGCCCAGGGCTTCTTGGGTTCCTCTAGATCTGTCACTCTGTGTCGCACTCTAATGTGGCTTTGTGTTTTAAGTATACCTCAGCAAACCCCTCATTTGTTTTCACCTTTTCCTGAAGATGCAGGAACTTTCCATTCCCACTTCTACTCTCAGGTGTTATTCGAGAGTGTAAACCATTTGACTGCAATCTTGAAATACTTCAGGTTCTCATTTAGCATCTTGGTGCTGTTAGGAGTCTCCTACTCAGGATGGAGAAGCAGGTTCCTTCCCAGCCAGGGCTTCCCCAGGCAAGGGTTCAGGAAGCTTGCCCAAGGGGATTCCTCAATTTATTTTTTTCTATGAAAGGTCAATGTTTTTTAGCCAGTGTATCCACAGAGAAACCTACTTGTTAGAAATAATTGAAAACCAGTCTCCTCCAACCCTCAGATTAGGGTTTCAGAAGCCTGTTGGAATTGCAAAGGTTGGCTCTTCCAAACACAGAGGCTGGCGTTCTGGAATGAATGGCTCTTCGGGTGTCATGAGGGGAAATTGGTGATTACAGCACAGACTTATTGGTATTGACTTTCCCATGGGTGTCCCAGGTCTTTCATGCATGGTTTATATGAACAGGGCTACCCGGTGCTTACTGAGATGTAAAAGTGTGTTTGACAACTGCCACAGGGATTGAAAGTAGACTGTTTTGCCATTACTGTTTGTGAGAAACCTCAGGAAAGTATTAGATACAAACATCAAGGAAAAAATACCTCAAATTACAACCCTCTTTCATATGAAGGCCATGTATGATTTGTAGTTTAGTGTCTGTAGTGAATGAATACTTTTAAAAACTAAGAAAAATCCCCATTCCTATCTTGGCAGTGGCATACAACTGTTATTTATAAGTTCCTCATGATGTGTCTTAGTTCAAACATGTTGTGTGAATCAATTTGTATTTTAAGTGCAGGATGTAAACCAGTTATTCAAAGTGCTAATGAAAGGAATTGTTTTACAAGCTTGTCATTAGGACTGTGCCAGCTTTCAGATACTGGTTTTGCTGAAAATGAGGTGTGTCTGTAAATATTTCTCTGTTGACAAATTCAGTTAACCTATGGATGATTCCTTAAACTAAATGAATAATCTCCAGAATTATGTGTAGCAAGATATATTAGTACAGTGAAACATGGCATTTCTGTTCTATACATGCATGTTTTTTCATTGTTCCATGAATTAGAGCTGAGTCGATTCTTTTTCTTTTTCTTTCTTTTTTTTTTTCTGCAATGGAGCCTTGCCTGAGCTTCAGGGAGACCTGCCAATTGGTGTGAGCCACCTATGCACTGGGCAGCTGATGGAGCACCAGCAGACACGCTCTCCCTCTGATTTGCACAGGAACATGTTCCATGACCTGCTTTTTCTAGGGATCTTAGGAAATTAAGATAGGGAATCAGAATTGGGGTCTTCACAATAGACTGTTGCAGGGAGCCAAATTTCAACTCCACTGTTGTTTATTTTTATAAATCATGACAGGACCTTAATGCAGTGGGACAACTGCCCAGTGGCTCTGAGGATCTCAGATGCCAGAGCACAAGGAAGACCAGGTGTTTGCTATGTGCTGAAGGAGCTCAGGGGTGTCGACAGAGTCATGGTCCAGGTTACACTTCAAATTAGAGTCAGGACCCAGGTTTGTGGTCTACTCATGTGCCCCAAGGACACTTTCCTGCTCTTGCTCAGCTTCAAGAGCACTCTGGGAGTTCATTCCCTCTGGTTCCCGATGATGAAGGTGTCTTTTGCATGCATGCCCATTCATTCTCCCCCAAGAACACTGTAGAAAGAAAGGGGTGGTAAGTTGTCTCTGAGGGAGTGCTCACTCCTTCCACCAACATAGATATGCAGTTACAAGAAATGCTTACAAGAGATGCTAAATATTTTAATGTCCCTTGAATTATTAACAGACAACTTCTGAACCAAATCTTTGAAAATGACAGCATGTTTTTTTTCTGACATAAAATTAAATCTTATTTATTGCAGAAGATTTTGGAAACGGAAAAAGCATAGCCACAAAAAATTCAAACCATTACCTCCCTGTCCCAAATAACACCTGTTAACATTTGTAACTCTGTTTATGAGTATTAACTGCCCCATGGATGTCACGTGCTATGTTTCTGAAGCTTACATTTTCCACTGATACTAATAGGAAACATTAACAACTTACCTTCTTCGGGCTCGAGATTCTAGTTAAACTCAATAGATCACATACGAAAAGAAGACAATGAGAGCAGAACTGAGAACTGAGAAGAAGTTTCCTCAGAGAGGAAGGGAGATAAGGGAGGAAGATGGGGTAAACGTGACTAAAATTCATTTTATAAATGTAAGAAACTGTCAAACAATAAAAACTTAAGGTTTTCATAAATATACTTAATGTCTTCATAGTATTGCATTGTATAAATGTTTTATTTAATCATTTCCCCACTATTGTATTGATAAGAAATTCTAGATATTTCTGTCATTCTTATTAATACTTCTATGAGCATTTCCATATCATACTTTTGTTTTATATTTTTAAACAAGAAAAGGCTCCCCCTAGTGCAATTACTAACCATGTGATAAAAAGCTATTCCTCTTTATTTTGAAGGATTATAAACTCTGGGAAGATCAAGGAGTGCATTGTTCTAGCTGGTTGGTTTGAATCTCTGTAGCATGAAAGAGAAGGTTTGATAGCTCACTACCTGTTGATTGGATAGATGCATGAATTGATAAGTAAAACATCCCTAGAAGAACATTTAGAAGGAGACATAAGATTTAAAGGAAATATAAGTATTACCTTAAGATCCCCTTACTGATAGTTAGCCAGCTAAAAATTCCACCATGCTGGCTTATAGTTACTTTTCTGTCTGTGTTGTACACCTCCATTTACAAGTCGAGTAAATTTTGCATCATCACGAAAACTGTCAATCGGTAACTTTTCAGCTTTCATGATTTTCCCCCCAAGGCTTTTAAAACAGCTATTGTTGTTACCTGATACTGTAGCATTAGTATAGACCATGTCATAAACTATTTTTAAAAATAAGATGCCTGGCATGTAGCTCAGTAGTAAAACACTTACCCAGCACACATAGAGTCCTGGGTTCAATCCCTAGGACCATAAGAAATGGAACACTTAGTAGATGCTTTATATTACATGATTACAATCATTTTCCATTATTATAGGTAACTACAAATTAATATCTTAGACCTAAATATTTTACACTTACATATTGTAGGGGGTGTTGTGTGCCATGGTGTGTGTGGAGGTCAGAGGACAGCCTGCAGGGGCCTGGTTCCTTCCTATCACATGAGTACCAGAGATAAAAACTCAGATTTGACATCAAGGGCCTCTGCCAGCTGAGCCATCTTGCAGGTCCCTAGATATAAATCTCAGAGAATGTCTCTTTCCTGAGGAGAAACTCCTTGAAGTGGTTTGACTAAGCTATCTTTCTAAAATTTGCCAATTTCTTTTTAAGACCAAAATATATGAAGAGAAATAAAACTTTAATTGCAGACAGCAGCATTAATTCAATGTTCCCTGCAGTCATTCTGTAAATGGAGGTTGGGTGGAGGGAGGACCTCTCCTCTAGAAGAAATGGCATTTTTAGAAAGATTTATCTTATTTTGTTTTATGTGTATACATGTTTTGTCTGCGTGTACGTTTGTGTGTCAAATGAGCACATGATGCTGAGGGCCTCAGAAGAGGGCACTGGATGCCCTGAAACTGAAGTTACAGAGAGTTGGGAGCTACCATGTGGGTACTGGGAACTACACCCAGGTCCTCTCTACAAGAGCAACAAGTGCTCTTAACCACTGAACCCTCCCTTTAGCACCAAAACACCCATTTTATGAAGGTAGTGCTTAGGTTTATGAGGCAAACAAAGTTAAGTGAGTTTAGCTCTTTCTCCAGCAAAACTTCATCCGGCATAAGGAATTTTGCCTGTGTCAAACTAAAAAAGTTTTTTTGTTTGTTTGTTTTTCAAGACAGAGTTTCTCTGTGTAACAGCCCTAACTGTCCTGGAACTAGCTCTGTAGGCCAGAGTGGCCTCAAACTCACAAAGCTCCACCTGCATCTGCCTCCCAAGTCCTCGGATTATTTGGTTCAGGTGTGTGTGTGTGTGTGTGTGTGTGTGTGTGTGTGTGTGTGTGTGTGTGTGCGCGCGCGTGTGTGTGTGTGTGTTGTTTCTTGACTTTCCAAAATGAGGGCTATGGAGAGGTGGAACCTCAGTTTACAGAGGCTGGTGATGCTAAGCATTTATCAGTGGGCTCTAAGGTGTCAGCAGGCATCTGGATCCTAGAGCCTAAGCCAAACCGGGAAGCAAATCAGGAAGCAGGCACACAGCAGCAGGAGGCTGTGAAGAGCAGTGGCTTCTCTCTCTCCCTGAGAGAGGCAGGTGTGTTTTCAGTGAGATAAGAGGAGAGGAAGCATTGGTTGCTCTTCAGACTGGTTCTGGACTCTTGTGTTTTGAGTGAAATGAATCAGACGAATGGGATTACCTCTAAGCAACATGAGACAAGAAATAGAGTAGCCCCTGTAGGGGCAAAAGCTGGAGACTAAAGAAAAAGGGTGAGTGAGCTCTCTGGATAAGTAGAAGAAGAACCTAGAGCACAGAACCAAAACCAAAGTCTCCTC